CGTGTCATCATCTCTCGGCATGTTGTTTTCGATGAAACAACATTTCCTTTCTCCCTTCGCCGACCCTCACCTCCTCCACAAGAGCTTGATTTTCTAACTAATGATGACCCCCTGCCAGTCTTCCCTTTACCTGTAGGTACACCCAGGCTTGCTGGCTCCTTGCCAGCACCCACGCCTCCACATGCCCGCTCCCAGCCATCGCCACCAGTCACCCCGATGGTTGGTCTGGGCACCCCGACGCCCAGATCGCCTCCACCAGGTTTCCCTGTCCTACGGCCGCTGATCGCCCCGGCGACTGGATCGCGCACGCCAATCCCCCAGAAGTCTCTGGTACCCCCGGGCGCGCCCACGGCACCTCCGGCACGTCATGTGTCCCCAGCGCCTCCTGTCCCGGAGCCCTCGGCACCCGCAGTACCCCCGGCGCCCCCTGATCAGGAGCCTCTGGCCCCCGCGGTGCCCCAGGCGCCCGCCTTACCTCAGGAGCCTTCGGTTCCCTCCTTCAGCAAGCCTCCTGTCATCCACGTCTACTCCAGGCGCCCTCCTGCACCCGGCTCACCTTCTGAGCCCGCTGCGGGGGGCCCTCCTCGACGCTCCAGCATTGTTCCCTCTCTGCCACGCTATGTCAAGTACGGCCCTCCGGTTCCGGCTAACGGCCGTCTCCATCCTCCGGTCACCAACTCCCATGGCATGGTGACCCACGGAAGTCCGGCACGGCAGACCTCGTCTCGCCTTGCATATTGAGGCCCTGTCACCGGTACTGCATGGTCGTGTCGCGATGCTCTTGCCAATCCGCATTGGCGTCGGGCCATGGAAGAAGAACATGCTGCTCTTCTGGACAACCACACTTGGGATCTTGTCCCTCGCCCGGCCAAGGCCAATGTGGTCACTGGAAAATGGATTTTCAAACACAAGTTTCATGCTGATGGTTCCTTGGAAAGATACAAGGCTCGTTGGGTCCTTCGCGGATTTACACAGCGCCCCGGTGTTGATTACGACGAGACCTTCAGCCCTGTCGTCAAACCAGCCACCGTTCGCACTGTCCTCACCTTGGCACACTCTCGGGACTGGCCGATCCATCAACTCGACGTGAAGAATGCTTTCCTCCACGGGACTTTGTCAGAAACTGTGTACTGCTCTCAGCCCACCGGGTTCGCTGATCCTGCTCTCCGGACCATGTTTGCAAGCTCAACAAGTCTCTACGGGTCAAGCAGCACCCGTGCGTGAAATGTACCGGTTTGCCGCCACTCGCTCACCTTGGGCTTCACTGAAGCCAAGTCAGACACCTCCCTGTTCATATACCGACGCGGCACCGAGATAGTATATTTGCTCCTCTATGTGGATGACATCGTCCTCACTGCCTCCTCTCAGCAACTCCTCCTCCGTATGATTGCTGCCCTGAAGAAGGAATTTGCTATGAAAGACCTTGGTCCCTTGCATCACTTCCTGGGCGTGGCGGTTCAGCGACACAGGGACACTCTCATCCTCTCACAAATACTAATATACCTCGGACATCCTTGATCGACATGGCCTGAGCGGCTGCAATCCCTGCTCTACCCCCGTCGACACTTGTGCCAAGGTATCTGCAGATGCTAGCCCTCCTGTGGATGATCCCATAGCCTACCGCAGTCTTGCAGGTGCTCTCCAGTACCTGACGTTCACCCGCCCCGACATTGCATATGCCGTCCAGCAAATTTGACTTCACATGCATGATCCCCGAGAGACTCACCTGATCGCTGCCAAGCGGATCCTTCGCTACCTTCAGGGCACCATCAGCTATGGCCTGGTCATCCCCGCCCCGCCTTCGACTCAATTCGTAGTTTACATCGATGTTGATGGGCAAGTTGCCCGACACTCGCCGCTCCACCTCCGGATACTGTTGTCTTCCTCGGTGGCGCCTCGTCTCTGGTCATCCAAAAGGCAACCCTTGTCTCGGTCGAGTGCCAAAGCCGAGTACCGTGTTGTTGCTAACGGCGTCACCGAAGCTTCATGGCTGCGCAAAGAACTTCTCTCTGAACCGCACCACCCCTCAAGACTACCTCCCTCATCTATCGCGACAATGTCGGCCGCCGTCTACCTCTCCACCAACCCGTTCAGCATCAACGCACCAAGCACGTGGAAATCGACCTTCACTTCGTCCGTGAACGGGTCGCCATTAGCACCGTCTCCGGCCCTACATGTTCCCACAACGTCGCAGTACGCAGATGTCTTCACCAATGGGCTTCCTTCTTCTGTCTTCATGGAATTTCGCTCCAGTCTGGACGTTCGTCCCAGCAATGTTCCAACTGCAGGGGGGGGGGGTGTTAGAATATCTAGTTACTCACTCTACCGGTTAGGCCCTTTCCTGTGTGAATGCGGCACTGGTCAAGCCCTTTGGGCCCCTATATACTTGTAATCCCTTTGGTACCTCAAATCAAGTATGCTAAGCCTGTTGGCTTAACCTTCTATCAAGAAACTCTGAATCACTTCTAAGTTGTTTCAGGATCCCTATGTCCAGGTAAGCATATAATGAGCTCTTAGACCTACAGAATAATCACTCCATACTGCTGCATGTTTCTCCCGAGGAGAATGATTGCTGGAACTTCATCTGGGGGCGCCAGTCTTATTCTTCCAGCAAGTTCTATCAGTACCACTTTGCCTCCTTGCATCCACCCAGAGCTATCACTTGGATTTGGAAGGCCAAATGTATTCAAAAAATCAAGTTCTTTGCTTGGCTTCTGCTGAATGATAAATTGAATACTAGAAATATGCTGAGAAGAAGGAATAAGTTTCTTGAAGAGGGTTATTGACATCGAAGAAACTAGTGAGCATTTATTCTTCAGCTGTCCCTCAGCAGCAACTAGGTGTCCTGTGAGGTTTGCACATCTCTTGCCACTCGGTGCCTGCGCGCACCATTGTTGTACTCAGCGGGGCTTGTAGTCTTGCGAGACCACACCAACCGTGTTTGTGTTGTGGCCGCCACCGTGTACCGAAGGGAACAAGGCCCGCGGCGGTTCGGCCGGAAGCTTGATAGTGAAGACGGCGGGAACGGTCCGGGAGAGGCTTGCCGGAAGGCACACCAGAGACCCACTTGCGCGTGGGGAAGGCTCGGGGCTATCCACGGAGTTACCCGACCGGGAGCTTGACCCTTACGAGGTATTCCTTGCGAGGGGCTCCAACGAGGACTAGGGAGAAGCTTGAGCGTTTCTCGATACCTCGCTAAAAATACCGGAGTCGTCGACAGGAGTTTGCATCTCTACCCCATCTTTAGCTTCCGCATTTATATTGCTTACCTTTCCTAGCTTAGTGATAGGCTAGTTGATATGATTAGAACCTAGGTTGTATAACTCTTTTGCGGTAGAGATAGCAACACATCTAGCAAAATCATAATTGCACATTTAGATAGATTACTTTCTTGCATAGATTTTGACTAGGTGGAATTAGAGGCTATAGTTAGAAGTAGAATTTTAAGTTGCCTAATCCCCCCCCCCCTAGGCGTCACGGTCCCTTACAGGAAATACACCTTTAAGGCTGGATAGAGATTGTTTAATATGTGACTGCTGGGAGGGAGATGATTGGAACATAAACTTTAGAAGGGCTTTAGGGGAGGCTGACATGAGAGAATGGGAAATATTAATGAATATCTTAGAGGAATATAGATTAAATGGGGAGGATGATCAGATGATCAGTTTGTTTGGATACTGGATAAGTCAGGAAACTATACTACAAGATCCATGTACAGAGGACTAATTTTCAAGGGGGTCTTGTATAAAAAGAATGATAAAGCTGTGGAAGAGAAGATTACCAAATAAGATCAAGGTTTTTATATGGTTGGCTGTCCAAGATAGACTTCAAACAGGGGTGAATCTCAAGAAAAGAGAATGGAAATGAAAAAAAAATGCTGTCTTTGTGGGGTGAATGAGACAACAGATTACATTTTCTTCCATTGTCTAGTTCTGTTTTAAGGAGGCTTTAGGCTGGGATAGGATGCCTTCTAGTTTGCAAGTTGTTTTTGACAAATGGATTCCTTTGCGAGGGAATAACTATCATATAAAACTTTTCATGTTGGCTATTGTCCTTTGGAGTTTGTGGAATGTTAGAAATAAGATGGGGATAGAGAAAAAGTTCCCAAAGTCATCATCTAACAAAGTTTTTTTACAAAAATTTTGGTTTTGCTCAGAAGTGGCGGGTTCTTTTGAAGGAGCACGATGCCAAGCACTTGAACGACAAGGTAAAGCAGATGAGAAGTTGGATGATGAACTTCTAGAAGCGAATTTAAGGCTTGGAAGTGGAAGGGGTGATTGAGTTTCTTTTGTGACTAGTGTGTGGATGGTTTGCTTGCATTGTGAAGCCTGATTTTTTGTGCTCTATGAAGGTTGGTAGTAGCTTTGGGTTGAACTCTGGTCGGTTTCAAGTTTGTTTCTCTTCTTTTGTGCGTTTGCTTCTAAGCTGTTATCTCCACTCTCCAGCATGTGTTGGTGTGTGTTTGTACTGCAGTACTGGTGACATTATGTGCTCTCTATAAAAGCTGGATTTATCTCTGTAAAAAAACTGCTGTGTAAGTGTAAAGACCTCAAATGATAGTGGAGAATATGGCGCGATGCAATCACAGTTTTCAGAGTAAAATGGCTTGCACATTTCAACAATTTTCTTACTGTACACATCTTACAATACTCTGCTTTCGCATCTCTATTCGCTCATGGTGGATAATCTGTATTTAGTTACCCTTCCACACCTCAGATTTATCAGTCTACATACACGATCTGTCAAGTGACAACTCGGAACTAATAATTAATATACATGTACAGAACTCTAGCTTCACCTATTGGCTAATTTGATCTTTCTGACACTCGCAACATCAGACGAGTAACAGCACCGCCACCAACAATGGAGTTCATCATCATCTCACCAGGCTTTTGCGATGAAAAAAGAACCTGAGGCAGATTCTTCTCGCCTGCCCTGGCATTCTTGGTCACTTTCCTTGACCCAGTGGTGGAAAAATGTTGTGGGGACTCTTGCACGTTTCACTTCGAGCTCTTCTTTCCCCACCATCTTTTCCGCGATTTCTCATCATGGGTGCCAACCTTATTAAGGTTTACCTTCGTCTCCTTCAACCGAGATTTATAATCTTTTTTCCATGTCGCAAAGCGGTCCTTGAGCTTCCGGAGTTCCTCGTCTGGGTTCATATTTGAACCAACCTGACCGGACTTGACTGCAACAAGGAAGCCTGCATCATCTTCGAACACCTGCCGTCTGTCTTGAAACTCCTTTGCTAGGTGGTTCACAGCATTTACTCGCCTATCCGAGTTTCCTGCTGAAACTTTAGCTTCAGGGTTGTGGTTGTGGTGTCTCGACTCTATCACTTCAGGTGTATGGGTCCCAGTGGACAATGTGTCTTCAGAGTCATACTGGGCATGTGTTGGAGTAAAATCGGTCCAAGCGGCTCTAGTGGTTGCATCATCAGCAGCTAGGCTCTTCTTAGCAGCAACAAGGCTCAGCTGACACGAATAAATAGGAACAAATCCAAATGAATACGTCTTCTGAAGGATAATTAAAAAGAAAACTCAAGCCACATAATTATATACCACTATTTTCTAAGAATATTTGATTGGTCTCTCTTTCCTTTCCCTTTTTGTTGGAGGCTCATGTTGGTTTTCGACTATAGTCTACCCCAACTAGCTTGGGACTAAAAGGCTTTGTTGTTGCTGTGTATTTTCTAACAGATCAGCCATCTGGCTTCTATGCTAGACAGGTACCATAAAATTCAATATCAGAGCAATTGCTCATTATTTTGTTTAACACACCATTAGAAAATTTCTTGAATATTTTCGTATGTCATCGCATGAGGAGGTTATGTTGCAGTCTGTCATTCTTAAACAGATGAATTCATGTTGCAAGAATATATTGATCCATTCTTTGAACATACAAGCAAGCATACGAATAATCAACTAGATAATTACCTGCAGAGAAGAGAGCTGTCTCTTCCATGCCTCTTCCATAGATTTCATTTTGGCCTCATATTCCGACCATTTCCTCTCATACTGTTCCAATTGCCGTTTTAGCATTACATTTTCTTCCTCCTTGTCCCGCAATGCAGCCTCAGCTTTCGTAATACGACCCTGAAGCTCAGTGATGACTGGTTCGTGAGGATAATGCCCATTCATTTCCTGCCATTGGATGCCAATGTTAGGAACTACTATACCTTTTACACCTATGTATTAGACAGCTGAACAGATTCTATATCTTGTACAGGGAGAACTTCTCAAGTTCTTTAGAATACAGTTGGATATCACAATAACAGAAATTTCAGTAAACTTAGTAAGTAACCATGCTTATGCAAATTCCAGATGAAGATTGTCTATTAGCGGTAGCGGTAGCAGATCTTTCAGATTATATGTACTTCTCATTCAGTACTGGATGAAACCAATATGCAGCTAGCGCATTAGAAGATTGGAACAGATAAAAGTATAGATATCCTTTGGTATAAAACTCACATGGCAAATTCTTGACTCGGAATTATTCTTCCTTGTGTCCCCTTGAACTATGTTGTGACTGGCCTTTGACTCCTTTTCATTCTGCAGGCACTTGTATTTCCTTCTGGCCAGGCACCCACGCATCACTGCAGTAACATATGACAGCACATGATTAGATAGATGCACTACTCTAGGGTAATGTTAATATGACCTCTTTTATTTTATCATATAAATTACCGGACTGAAGAAGATGAATGATATGACTCAGTTGATCATTAAACATGTTAGCTGCAAGTCGACGCCTAGTGTACTTCTGTATAAGAACAGCTGCCCTCCATCTCTTGACAAGATTATCAAAGTGTATTCTTGCTCTTTCACTCATGTATAACTGCAGTTTGGAAAACAGGAAGAGTATGATAGACGTTCATATTATTAGAATTCAGGAATGTTTTGAACAAAAAGAAATAAAGTGTATTACATGATTGCAAATTCATTGCCCCTTTCTTTAGTCGTTGATATCCCTGTCGAGAATGCAAACCCCGGAAGTGCTTCTGAATACAGAGGCTTCCATGAAGCATCTGTCTTTTAGCATTTTCCAGTGCAGCAACCTACAGAATAATCAAGATTAGAAACCACACTCACAAAAAAGAGCAGTTGTGATCATAAGCTAAACCAAACTATAAGGGCAAGGGCAATGTTGGAAGTTCAAAATAGCATTAAAGTAGGGCCCACAGAAAACAAGCATTTGTTGTTTCCATCTGCAGAAGATGAGCACTAAGGTGGGACCACGCTCCAAAAAAGATCCTTAACTTCCTGTGAGCGATAAACATAGGGCAGAGAGAGAGAGACTAATTGTTTTTTGCTATGGTCTACTGCACAATGTATCTGATGCATCATAGGAGTGTATTTATGGCTTAAGGTCACCTTTTTACTCACATTGTGGCTGCCCTAAAACTTTTGTATGCTAGTGCAGCTGGTTGAGGGTCTACTCTAGGATTTAAAAGATTAGAACTTGGAATAGTCGATTTATTGTACCTGTCCTGTATGGAAAAACAATTTCGTGTAGCCAACTTGATACATTTCAGGGGGAATGTTAAACTGTTGCAAAACAGCAATTGAAACACTAAGTGGATCTTGAGATGCAATGGAACGCAAGAGAAGAAATCCGTATCTGCATATTATGGAACAAATCGTCAGTCAAGTGGCACACAGTATCAAACAAATAAACAACAACAACAACAACATAGCCTTTCAGTCCCAAGCAAGTTGGGGTAGGCTAGAGTATCAAACAAATAAACAAGTACATTTTTTAAGTCAGATTATATGAAATAGCAACCTTTCAGCAAACTGTTGGTGAGTGATCCTAGTTGGATAGCATGTTCTTGATATCCGAACAACTTCAAGCACCCCACAGCATTTAAGCTGGTGCAAGACAAGATCATGCTCGAATAACCTGGGATGTTGTTTGCTATTTGGTTGAATGCATCGAATAAAATGTGGGGTTGTACTCTCCAACTGCTGCATCAGCTTGAACAGTTGAGCCTGAATACAAAACAGAGCATTGGGATGGCTAAATACAACTTTATATAAGAATGACAGGGAAAGGCATTAAGGTATTATGAAACAAAGAACTAAAAGAACTACCAAGAAACTGAATACAACTTATACAACACAAAGCATAGATATCTAGAGAACCATTTTCGACAATATTATCTGTAAAGATAAAAGAATGAAAGATTTGAACCAGTACCTTAAATTTCGTTACAACACTTTGTTTCTGTGTATCCATTACTGAATGCCATGACAGACTTGATTTATTCTGAGAATCAGCAACCATGACAGAGGCAAAATGTTTTGGAAGTTCACATTTACATGATGATAGTAGTTGGATTGACTCAGAGTGCAATGGATCTCTGTTCTTCTCCAGGAACCCAGCTGTATCATATGTCACCTGGAATCAAAATCAGGACTGTGATCATGTTGCATATAGAAGAGCTTCAACAGCAAATTATCATAACTGACAACTGAATGGGCAAGCTTGCACATCTGGAGGATGTTCGAGATTAGAAATAGCTTAAAGATAAAACAAGACGAGGATTGACCAACCTCCCCTGCATAATGGCAAATCTTAAATGTGCCTTCTTTTTCACCCTTGAAGCAAGAGTTACCACTTAATTGCTGCTTAAGCTTGTTAGCAAAGGAAAAGTCTGTTGCCTTTGGGAAAGTAGACTCTTCATCCAATAATGACAATAGCCCTAGAGGTTTCTGCAATGTAACAAAAAGGTGAGTACAGTAGTACATATACGGATCTTATCTTACAAATTTACATAGTAAAGCTTATAATATTAATATGACATGATACCATGATAATGGCACATTTTTCTTCAGTGATTCCACTTAAACATTAATAATTACACTCGCTTTCTGATATATATAGTTCTCTTATAGTCTTATCTATAGAACAAAATATGGAGTAACTCCACTTAAGGATATTTCCATCTGTTCCAACTTTTGTTTCTCATTTTATATAGGGAGGTGCTCATTTCTGCTGTAATAAGCTCAAAAACTAAGGCATTCTAGTAACTTCGGCATAACTGAAAAGGCAAAGCACAACGGATTTGCATATCAAGATAATTAGAAGGGCAATAACCTGTATATACTAAAAGAAAAGGATTGGAACCAGAAAGCATATGAGAATGGGGCCAAACAGCCATAGAAGCCTAAAATTCAGTCATTGTTTCTTCAGCACATGCCAGGTAAGCAATTACAATACATATGTTTATCGATATCAGGCTTAAAAACTATTTAAACTACACATAGAAACAGTGAATATATGATCCATATGTAACAGGGTTGCATGAAAAAAATGTTGCATACCTTCTCAAAGAGGGATAAGCAATTAGTGTTATCCACAAATTCCACGGGGGTCCAATCAATTCCGTCTTCCAAGTATTCCTGGAAGTGGAACAAAGCCAGCATGAGCATATTGATACACTGACACAGAAGGTCCAAGGAAAATATTGCAGGAGCAGAAACATGGAAACAAGGGAAGCCGCTCTACAATTTTATGAAAAGAAAGATAATGCTGGCTAATGGATCCAAAAGCAAACGAGCAGGTCATGTGCACAGTGGACCAGAACAAATAATCATAACCAGAGTTCAAACAGAATTGGAACTAGTATCAGGGCCTTGCCGGCACATCAGAAACCAGTTGCTTCTTGCGGTTTTCTAGGTTTTTGTGTTTTCTAGAATAACTTTTTCTGACTTCCTTTGATAATCACTAAATGTCAACATTTTCACAAAGGTTGACTGGTTTCCATAACAATAAGTTGGGTAGCTGATCATAACTAACAACCACTTGGATTTGGAATCCTGGTGCCAGCTACAAGACATCCAAGTGGTTTCTGTCCCCAGAAGCACAGAATCACTCGAAAGGCAAACCACAAAATAAATAATATTCAGATCACATTGGCCCATTCATATCTAACTCAGGTTAGACAGAGCAACTTCAGCATGTGACCACATCTCCTAGTTATGACAAGTGGCAAAGTTTGCAGGGTCGTTTACATCTTTAGTACACAACAACGTAACCTGATACTGTTTTGCAGGAAGAAATCATGCATAATACAATTCACATTCATTCATATCTTTGATGCTAACATAAATAATGCAAGGAACTGTTAGAATCTTACGTCCTGTTGTAGTTTGAAAAGATGTCGGTTGAAGTGCTGCTGCAGCCTCTCATTGGCATAATTTATACAAAATTGCTCAAAACCATTCTTCTGTAATGGTTTAACCAAATGTTACAACTCAGGAAATGCCAAGTAAATCAGTACTAAACAAAATGCAAATATTCCATACATTGAAACACTCGAACCCATAAATATCCAAAATACTTATGGATCTCCATGTAAATTGCCTCCCCGTTCCAAGTGAGTGGTTAATTTGCTCAACAATCCAGTCAAATAAATTGGCGTAGATTGACTTTGCTAGTGCATCTCTTGCGTCAATGGCCTACAGAAATTAGAAATCTTGAATAAAATTCTAAAAGATCAAATCAATAGATCCATGCAGATAATTTTTCAGGATACTACATACCTGAGTTAATGTCAGCTTTTTAACGATACTGTCATTTCCAGCTCGGATTTTTACAGTGGACATAGCAGTCACTAGTTGATTTGCAGTGCAGCCTAATAGCTTTGCAGCAGTAGCCAACCCTGTGAATACATTACACAATCAAATGTCTGCATTTTGGGGACATTTTCTACTGGATAAGGCAAAGAGATAAATGGAAATTATATACACCGGGAATTATACCTTCGTTTGAAACAACTTCCACATGGTTTTCATTATCAATCACAGAGAATGATATGTTTCCCAGCCACAAGACAGCTGCAAGCATAGAAAATAATTTCATTTGGTCTTCCTTAGATATTTGAATAGTATCCAATGCATCCTGCACATGAAACAAAGGATAAATAGCAAATAAGATAAAATACTAGCACAGCTTTGGTTGGAGAAGTTATTTGGATTTTCCAGTAACATTACCACTAGCACTGTGAACTTTTTTGAATCATCAACACCATCGATTTTCAAGCAATTACTCTGCTTCAAGTAATTGTAGTCACTGGCGCTTTTCAGAAACAATTTTTCTGCAGTAGCATGTGCATGTAACGGAATTAGGAAGTGAGAAAAAGAGAGGGAAGATGAAGATAGTTTCACAGATCACACTAAAACGTATAAGATGTAATACAGGCAGAATGTGGCACACAATTTTCTTGACAGAAGCACCATTTGAAACACTTAAATTGTAATATAAGCACATCAAACATGAAGGTATGGTTACTTTTGAGAAGTGGAGGAGCTCCAGAGCACAGTTGATAGAAAATATGGTAAGATCTCTCTCCTTGTGCCCTTTGAACCACCCTCGACTACAGGGGAAGACAGAGCATATTAGACCTTGCAGAAATAATAAAATATGGATCTGTTAGCAATGCATGAATTTCCTTACCTTCTCAAGCAGGACTGGCCCATGAGATTCAGTAAGAGGTACATGCACAGCCAAGGAAATAAGTTAACAGGGAGTTCAAAGATATCGTGACTAGCCATTTAAACAATAAATGGTAGAGAAGGCTTACAGGTCTGGATTTTAGCACCACACATTTTCCCAGTTTCAGAAAAGTGTATTTCAATAAGCTTGCCCTACATCAAAATCATCACAGCACCATAAGAATAACTCCAGAAAGTTAGCGGAGGACAGTGTGGCAACGATACAGGAAGATAAACTCACAAATCGGCTCGAGTTATGGTTTCGTGATGTTTTTGCATTCCCCAATGCTTCCAGAATAACATTGGTCTGAAGAACCTCAGACTCCGTACCACTAGCACCCCCAAGATCAGACAAATATTGCATTGCAATTTTAGCCGTCTCAGTTTTTCCTGCTCCACTTTCACCACTGAAATGTGACAAGGAGCACAGATAGCATATTTAAATTTTGTAATCCAGACCCCCAGGGTTTAAGAGAAGAAGATAAGGCATACTAACCTTATTATTATAGATTGGTTTACGCCATCTGCAGAGTATCAGGAGTTGCATTAAAAGACAGTTCTTGAAAAATATTATAAATCATAACTGTTCTCTTTACTCTTTAGCACCTACCTCGCAGCATCTCATTAAATGCCAAATCAGCAACTGCATACACATGTGGGTCATCGTTGGTCTTTTTGCTTGTATTGCATGATTGAAGACTTCCCATAGAGTGCAACTTCTTTTAATGGATGGATTGACAGCAATCAGAACAGGTCCTGCCTTTGTCTACAAAGTAAAGTACACACAAGTGAGGATACCTAGAGTAAGCCATATATATACTCTTATATAGCACGATGAAACTATTGCATAGTGCTTACATAGATAAGATCGTGAGAATGTCGCAATTGCAGATTGTAAAGAACTGAAGGTTCATTCAAGTAACTCATCTGGATTAAATCATCCACTCCATCGAGGATATCAGGGTTGGCAGGCAAGAGTTGTTCTGGTGACACCGTCAAAACCTAAGCAAATAAACATTGAGTAAGAATTGTACAGGAGTTTCCCCAAATGACTATATCGCCATGGCAATATAAGACACTCACTTTTCCATTAGCCAGGAGTATTTCAGCATCATCTCCAGATATTGATTGGATCTGTCCAAGTTCCCACTTTGCATTTGGTGAAGAACACCAAACTCGTAGCTTCTGAAAAAAGTCCAAAAATTATTATCTCGTATGGTTCTTCCAATCACAATATAAATTCAGAAATATCAAACTCGAACCATCAAGGGATAAGAGAACTAGTTCCTTGAGACCTATACTGCTGTAAGAAACAACACTTTCTGATTGTCCAGTATCCATACATCCTAAGGTTAAAAACAACAGGTTCTTTCACCCAATATCCATACTTATAAGGTTTAAAGTAACATGACATGCCAAACTATTTGTGGATGTAATAAACAAACATGCCAAACTATTTGTGGATGTAATAAACAACAGTATGAGACCTGGAAAATTCATTAAGCGACCACTACTGTATCTTCTGGTAAATGTGAAACAACAGTAAGTTCAGCATAACCCAAACATAACTGCTATTTCACATGAAAGTCTTATTCACACATATCATAAAGAAACGATCTTTAAGAAAAAGGGGTCTATAAATTCAGCATATAACAAACACATGTAAGCGACACTTTGATGAACATTTCCTGTTTTGACTCATGAATGATATTTTGCCATCATGTTAGACAAAGTATTCAGGTTACTTCCATTTGTTCACATTGCAATAATAGAAATAATTCTTACAAAATCCACAATGAACAAGCCTCTTACCTTCTGGAGAACATAGTCCATGATATTTGTACATGCTGGCTTCCCATTCGTCTTTATTGTTGCCGAGGAAACAGAGGGGGGATCCTTACAAACTGCAGTACCCTTCCTCTCCTCATGAAATTCATCAACATATGGCGACTCCTCCAGCGCTTCTGTGTTAGGGAACTTCCTCTTAGTCCCAAAGATGCAGCCTTTCACCGGCTTTTCCTCCTTGGCCTCCAGCCCAGCAATCTCCATCTTAGCATCTGCCTTCTTGTCAACCACTGCAACTTCTGTGGCAGCAACTGTTGCCATGCCATTCTCGAGCTTAAAGCCAGCAGGCAGTGATGGCCGTCTGGTGGTGGGCAGCCGGCCACGGCACGTCGGCCGGGCTGGCAATGTTGGAGGCGCATCCTTGGGCTGCTCATCGCGCTTCTTTAGAGTCTCAAGCAAGACCTCAAGGGAGCTCTTCTGTGTAGCTGCTGCCGGCGCCATCACGGCGGCTGCAGAGAGCATCACCACCGGGAAATCAAAAGGCCACCAGCACAGACCGGTGATTTATACCAGGGCTCAAACACCAACTCGCCAAATCCAATAGCCGGACAGCACAGGGACCAGAAATTTCCCCATTTCGCATCAAAACAGGCGATAACTTCAGAGGCAATAGCCTCTAACTCTCCAAGGGCTGAAAACTGGCAACCCCCAAACCCCCAAATTCCACACCAGGCTCAAAATTCCTCAGAAATCTCTCAAAAATCCAGGTTCTGGAGCTCAACTAAGCGGCAATCGCACGCCCAAGGAGCGCTGCCCGCACAACGGGGCCGGGTAAAACCCCGACCCTATGCGCGATTTTTGAAGGGGAAATAGCCGGGCCAAGGTTGGAATCGGCCGGAGAAGAAAAGGCTGCGGCTGCGAAAGCTGCAATCTTTGGCCAAAGGAAAGGCGAAAGAACCCGAAACCAAAGCAAAGCCTCTGCCGAATCAAAGCGCTGGCGTACTAGCAGCAGCAGCAGCGCACGCAGGTGGCCACGAAATCATCACCAGAGTAACAGCACCGCACGGCCGCACCGCACACCCCCTCTGCCTCGCCGCTGCAAGAACCAACAGCGAGCCTGCCCACTCCGAACCGCCGCTCCTCCAAATCGAAAACGGAAGACGCAAAAATGAAACCGAGATTATTTTTTCTTTTCTGGAGGCTTTTGCTTCTCCCTCACATTTCAAACCTCTCCGCTCCCCTCGTCCCCATATCTCCGTGTCTTTTTCTCCCTGCCCCCCTTGATCCGTTACTAGGCAGTGGGAAAAAAATGTTTAGGACAAAGCAAGCCAAATGACGCCTGTACCCTCGCGCCCCCTCGCTAATTAGGCCAGTGGCGTTTTCGTGAATCCCGCGGCGGATGGAGGGCTTGGTTCATGGATGAGCGTCGCGGGTGGGGGAGACGCGGTTGGGACCGTTGGATGCGAGCGGCTGCGGCTGCCGCTGCCCCTTGAAGGTTTCAGTTGGGGGTGGGAAGTTACGCAACTACCCCCGGAGTTTAGTGCGCTGCCACGTCGTCATTTGGGCTCTTTGAAAACGAATCTTATTTGGATGTTGTTAATCTTGTTTGGATGTTGTGAAAAAAGAAAGAGGTGATGGAGATTTTATATCCGGAAGGAGAAAAATCTTGTGGGAGAGAAGCTTCTGTTAGGCAGGTCTCCGTTTTCTTTGTCCATGTGTGGTATGGTCAACGGGGAGTCCAGAAAGACCCACTTGCTTTTATACCTGGCTTGATCCACTTATTTTTTTCATCCGGAACAATATTTTTCTCTCACAGATTTCTCCAAATTCATCCAGAATCCTCCAAGCGAACGGGGCCGTATGATGGAGTATAATGTTCATTTGGAATACATAAATAAATTTTATAAAATTTGTATACAATACAACTTTAGTGGAATCAGATTAATTTTACAGGAAAATATAGAAATGAAAAAAAATACTCACATTCTAAGCAGGACTTATAAATTTATTTCTGTAATTGAATTCTCCTGTTGATGTATAAATGTTTTTTTCCCTAAAAAGTAGCGTTTTGTTTTTGGTCGATACGATGGTGTAAGTGTTTGTTAATGTTTGTTGACAGGCTTTTGTTTAGTGGGAGAGTTTGCAAAGCTCTATGAGCTAGGATAGTGTGCGTATGGATTGACTAAACGAAAATTTTCCGCCATTCCATCTCCTTGGGTGATGAAACCATCAATGCGTGGAACCCTCAATCCGTCAAGCCAACGCTAGAGTTTGGATGGGGTAGTAGTAGTAGTAGCTGCTCCCTCCGGTTACAAAGTATTTCATATTTAGCCATTATTTTTGTTTTACTCCATCCATCCGCAAATGTATGGACTTTTAAGATTTTGATGAGGCCAAATTAATCAAGAGCGAATAGTCTTTATGCTACTCATTAAAGCTGTCCGGTCACCTCCTGACTGGCGCAACTAATAGTGCTCAGGACAGTTCCTAAATCCTACTGTAATTAACTAGTCTAAATATGAAAAGTTCTTATATTTGTGGACGGTGGGGTAGAATACAGTTATAATATCTAGTAATAAATAATGAAAGCATTTACCAAGAGTTCAAGAAAAATTGATACATATAATTCTTATGTTCTTCAAACTAAATATCTTAGAAACTTCCTATGATTAAAGTTTGAAAAGTTTTCAAATTAAATATTTATAAACAGAGAGAATACTTTCAAACCTTCAAACTGGTGCTGGTTGGGAAATAGATGTCGCTAGACTTACACGAACTCTACGACGACGCAATGGAATTTACCAACTTAGGCCCTCTTTAGTTTGACTTTTTAACATGTTTTAGCTTTTTAAAAACAAATGCCAACCAAAGGGGTGGCTTCCACCCAAAGATTTTGGCTAGTACAAATTTCACAACAGCCTCACCCCTACTTTCACCTATTGTGGCTTCCAAGTCTTCACGAAAATTATCCACCTACCATTGGTTTTGTTACGTATCGAGACGTTTTTCCCCTTTCCGTCATCGGCGTCTCTTTCCCACCCAACCTGCATTTGCCTCAATGCGGCGTCTTCCAAACGCGGCCGGCTCCCATTTAGCAGTTAGCCCCTAGAGGGTTTCCCTTTCCGTCCACTGGCGTCTCTTTCCCACCCAACCCCCCTTGGTGCCTCAACGCTGACGTCTTTCCCAAACGCTGCCGGCTCCCACGAAGCGCGGTTAGCCCCTAGAGAGAGGAAGCCTTTTTCCCTTTCCCGTCCACTGGCGTCTCTTTCCCACCCAACCTGCGGTGCCTCAATGCGACGTCTTCCCAAACGCGGCCGGCTCCCACAGTAGCAGTTAGCCCCTAGAGGAGAGGAAGCCTAGGTCCGAGATCAAGATGGCTCCCACCGTGGTGGCGACGAGGATGCCGCCACGGCCCGACATCAAACAAACAGAGAGATAAAGGAGAGAAAAGCATGTGGAGGTGGCGAGTGGGAACGCGACGCCTCCTGCAAGAACCGACAGCACGCCAAAAGAGGCCTTTAGGGAGCGGGCGCTTCTTTGGGCGTGGGCCATGCCTTAAATGCCGCCATGCGTGGGCTCCATCGGGCGAGAAAAGGCAAGGCCCCCACCGACGTCCCTCGTCAAAGCACCACCCCTCGCGCGGCCTCCTGGTCTCCGTGTGGATCGACGAACCAAGGAAGAAGAAGAAAATACACAGAAAACAAGAAGAAATATACAATTCAGTGATTGACAGGAGGGGTCACATATGACATGTGAGGCCACCGACAGCATTTTTTAGAAGCCATCGTTGTGCAACCAAACGGCTTTTAACTTTCTCATAACCCACGACTCACATCAGTTTTTTAATAGACCACAACTCATATAAACTTTTTCAGAAATCACGGCTCAACCAAACAGGTTCATAGGTTTTTCATATTTTTCTAGATTTATACTGAGATTTAGCAAATTTATCATTTTTATTTATGGTAGATACGAGATGATGATTTCGTCAACTATTCGGTAGCTCAGGTTTTTTTAGGATTGTTTAATTAAGAAAAAAAAAGAGAAGCAGACAGGTTACACGAAATGAACGGAAGAGGTCCTCTAATTAAAAATTAAAACTCCCTCTAAGCCTAATCGTAGAGCGCTGGGTGTCAAAAGCCTACTACTATTACACGACGCCGCGGCGGTACCAGCCTGCGTGCTGGTGCGGCAAAATTTTCCATGGCCGCCACCGCCCACCCGGGTCCGGGGGCCGGGCGACGTACCACGGCTTTTACAGGACGTCGTGACGAGGAGCAAGGAGCACGGCCTACCTCCAACGCGAGAGGGGAGGCGGAGCACGCGACGGCTAGAAGCGGAACGGATAAGGGATAACGCCACGACGCTGCGAGCGAGACCCCTGGCGACCTTTGTTTTTTTTGGATAACTACCCCTGGCAACTTTAGCACGTACCGCCACCAAACGAAGGAAAAACGAGCCGAAACATACCTGCCGGCTGCAGTGACGCTGAAATTCCTGCCGGTTGCAGTACATTTTTTTTCTCCTTTGGTTTATATACTGCACTAGTAGTACGTAGTACTCCGTACCTACTAGTGGAATGTGAAAGCTACCCTCGTGGCCAACTCTCGTTCCCGGTGCAGAGCAAACTCGTAGCAGCTGGGAGATCCAAGCGGACAGCGTGGCGTCGCCCGGGGACAAGGCCACAGGCCAGGGTATACCGTACACGAGGAGTAGGAGGGCAAGTGGCAACTCTTCTACTCCCTCGGTCCCGAAAAGGAGGAGGTCGTTCTGGCATGTGAATGTTATCCCGATAAAAATATCGTTGTGACTCACATCCTGCTACTTTACCAGAGTCAAAGGCAGCAGTCCTACTACCTGCACTCTCTACGAAGGTGGACAACAGCTTTTGACGTTGTGAAATACAAGTGCATGAGAGAGAATAGTAGGGATATCTTGGACTTTTCTCATTAGTCTTGGTACATGTGCTGGATCCTATAACGTCTTTTTATTTGGGACTGAGGGAGTACGTGTACGTACGCATCCCCCATCTCGTAATGGCCACCGTATGCCAGCCAGACCCATACACTACGCACGTACGTACGGTGGTCGCTGGACCCGCACGCAGCGGCTGGATGCAACCGCGGCGAGACGCGTATGGTTCAAGCATCGCGCTGCACACCAGACAAGGCAAAGGCACGTGGGCGTGGCAGAGCTGGTGCCACTCTCCTTTGCAACATGAAGAATGACCCTCAATTGGATTGGAAGTTGGAACGGGAACGGGAACGTGGTTGGAGACCGTGGTTAGGTCTTTACCTTTGCATCTTTGCAGCTTTGGTTTTGTTGACGATGAAATCTAAACCAAGATCATGGAGCTAGAGCACGTACTAACCGCCCTGGTAATTGCACGGGACAGGACAGCTCCTTTTCCTTTCGACGAGAACCACTCTCGGATCGTATGATGCCGGGCAGGGGGCCTGCAATCCTCCTATGCTGTACTCCGTGTTCAGTTCACTGCTTCAGGTAACAGTCCCCCCTGCTGA